TGGAGCAGGCCAGCCGGGGCCCGGTGTGCGCGGATGGAGCAGGCCAGCCGGGGCCCGGTGTGCGTGGATGGAGCCGACCAGCCAGGGTCCCCAGATGAGGAATTGCCAGAACACTGCCCCATGCAGCCAAGGACCCTGTCCTGTCCACCCATTTGTCACCTAAGAGTAGCACCGAGCCTATCACAAAGTAGGAAGTCACTGAGGCTGTAGTACGGGTAGAAGAGAAGACCTCCGACTGAGATCTGTGGCCTTGGCGGTCAGAAGGCTGCTCAAGATGCAGGTCTGGCTCTCACAGGGGACTGCCTTCACAGTCTTGCTGGAGCAGGAGACTGCTTTGGGAGCAGGGACTGTCCTCTACTTAGATCCCAAATCAAGTCAGGCTCTGCTTTACCGAAGAGCAAGCACAGCTCCTACGGGATGGGAAACGGACAACCCCTGACCGACCACTTGTTTTGCCCACTACAGTGAATAATGGCCACTGGAGAAACTGTACCAGATAATAGGGGTAAGGGCCCTGGCGGGGCTCGGCTGCTAGAAAGGGTACTGTTACAAACCCAACCAACTGCTCCAAGAAGAAAGGCCTGGTGATCTCCTCTCATCCAGATTACAACCTAGGAACCCCTCTGGAGCAGTTCTCCTCCGTCACACGGCGGCCCTGTGGGTCAGAACGGACTCAACCTAACAGCAGCTAATAACAGCAGCAGGGTGGGCTCTGGCAGGCACTCTTCTTGGCTCTTCACAGCAGCGCTGTAGGAAGGTCCTACCACAGCTCCCCAGAGCACCACCCGGCACAGGGAGACCTACGCGGTCACATGGGGCCCAGCACCTCGAATTCTTCACAGTTTGTTCACTAGGGGCCCTGCGTTTTCATTTTGCATTGAGCCCCACAAATTATGTAGGCAGACCTGATCCCCATTTGAGAGAAGACTAAGGAACTACATACAAAGTTAAGTAACACAGCTAAGAAGGGTTTCAGAAGTCCACCCTTCACTGCGCCGCCTCCCACACTTCGCCATGTGTGTGAGTCTATGTCCTACCTCTACTAGACCAACAGCTCCCAAACACAGAGCCATGTGTGTGAGGGGCCTGTGGCCTTCGTCCTACAGACGATCAGCTCCCCGAAAGCAGAAGCCAGGTCTTTTTCGTCATTAGTGTCCCCTCGGTGCCTTGCACCATGCCCAGCACACACCAGGTGCTCCATATTTTTCAGACAATTTAAGCAATGTCTGAAACACTAAGGAACAGTATAGTGACAAGACAGGACTTCACAAGTTGCAAAACTCACACTTATGAGTTAAAGCCTTTGTTGTTGTTGTTGTTGTTGTTGTTAGGTGCTGGCAATTCGTCTGACTCATAGCAACCTCATGTCCAGCAGAACCAAACACTGCCCAGTCCTGTGCCAGCCCCAGGATCCTTGCTGTCCCTGAGCCCATCGTTGCTGCCACCATGTCAGTCCATCTTGTTGAGGGCCTTCCCCTTTTTCGTTATCCCTCCACCTTACCAAGCATGATACCCTTCTCCAGGGAATGGTCCCTTCTTACAACATGACCAAAGTAGGTGAGACAAAGTCTGGCCATTCTTGCTTCCAAGGAGCATGCCGGCTGCACTGCCTCCAGGACAGATTTGTTAGTTCTTTTAGCGGTCCATGGTACTTTCAGCACTCTTTGCCAACACCATAACTCAAAAGCACCAACTCTTCTTCAGTCTTCCATTTTTATTGTCCACCTCTCACATGCATATGAAGCCACTGAAAATATCACAGCTTGTGTCAGGCTCACCT